TCATTTAATCAATTTAAGTTTTTTTTTTTTTTTTTGGCCTGTTTTATCGTCCACCAGGTCTGATTGTTTCGAAAAGCAATAGCACCGCTCATAATGAACAATTTAAAGTATCATTTGCATATGTACAGCAGTTACATACCAAAGTTTACTTTGGTTTAGGAATTTGGAACAGCAAGCACTTCTCAACATGGGCAAACTCTTTATTATTCAAACAAAATCGATCCCAGCAGATAAAATTCCCCATTCCCCAACTCTTTAACACTTAATATTCAGTTTAACTCAATAAATGTGTCTCATTATGGAAGTTAAGTGCATTGTGAAAGCAGCTTCATATTGTCTTTAACTATATTTTCGATACATTATAGAATACATTATAGAATCCAAGGGTTGGAGTCTTGGAGAAATATTTTCTGGCAATGTCAAGTTGTTTGATAGGAGTTTTAGACAAAAAAAAAAAAAGTTTTTATTTTTTCCTCTATAATTCCTAAGTATGTGTCTTCATCAGTAGTAAAGCATTTTCTAGTGTCTCATCTAATCTCTCTTTGTTTTTATTCCCCACAGATTCCCATGAGCTATCATCATCCTTGTGGTCGCAAGGGTTGTTGGATGGACGTTTTTGAGTGGAATGAATGTTTATGACGTTGCATAGTCCAACTTTTCCCACACTATTCCAAGGGAGCATATGACTAATAAGCAGCCTACTCGTTTTTTTTTTCTGGTTTCTAATGCAACCAAATGAATTTAAGTCACTAAAGGCTCAGCAAGTTAAACAACCCCTCAGTGCATGTTGTCTCAGAAACTGTCTTGTGTCCATCCTTGTGTGTGTTTGTTGTCTTTCAGAAGTTTGAACCCTTCAGAGGGGACAAAAATGTGCCAGCCAGTTTAGAGCCTTCATCCAGTGAAGCAGAGCAGCTGCCATCCACACTGAGGTTTGGGACATTACCACTCGAAAACTCTGTTGCCTTTCGTTTTCTTCCATGTTTCGAAGTTCTCCTGTTCACTTTCCTTTCTGTTTTTGTTTTCGTTCTCAACCATTCCCTTTCCAAATGGCCCTGAGCTCACATTGACGAAAGTGGCCCATTTGGACTGGATAAGAAGGTTAATGCTCTTTTCTTTTCTCTCGATTCCCTTTCCTCTACTGTTTAAAGTGTTAATGCAAAGATCCGTGCCATCGAAGCCAAGCTGCAGATGATGGAAGAAAACCCAGATGACTATCCCGGCCCATCTGTGTACATCTACAACAAACCCCCCGATAAAAGAGACAAGAGGTCCCAGCCTTACTACAAGCCGTTCCGCAAATTCAGGAGATGACCTCTCCAACAACTGGCCAAGTGTCTCTGCACTGAGCGGACTGTGAAATGTGCGGAGATAAGCTGCTCTTGTCTCTTGGCCAGTGTGAGACTGTAATGTATTATGAGAAGAGAGTGTCCAAGACCTTCGATTGGTAGTGCTGTTCTGTTTCTCAGCCAGCGGAGGAGTCTTTTTACTGTGAAAGACAGCTGATGTAAGCAAAATCTAACCACAAAATTCTAGTGAATTTAGTTTTTCCTTTTTCGAATATTGATGTTACCCAAGTAATTGCAGTTCTTCAGGTTTTAAAGGGATAGTTCAGTTAAAGGATGACAGTTCTTTCATCATGTACTCGCCCTCATGTCATTCCAAACCAGTAAGAGGATATTTTGATAAATGTCTTTTTTTGTTCTTTTTGGTCAAGTCATTGTGGTCCAATGTTGTTTGAACCCTAAAATATCTCCTTTTGTGCTCCGCAGAAGAAACAAGAGTACGGGTTCGAAAAAACATGGAGGTACATAAATCATGACAGAAATTTCATTTTTGGCTGAACTATCCTTTTAAGAGTTCTGCACCTCTTCAAAATCTCAATTTACATCCCTTTCTAGATACCCTTTCTGAATATACAGTATCTCACATTGATTTTTATTCACTTGTAAACTGCCCAAAAGTGTTGTTGTGTGTTGTGAGTCTTATGATCCTAAATCTACTACTCAGACTTTCCCATTCTTTGTTACACTGTTGTATGTGTAAAGGAAGCACAATATTTAGCATTGTTTATTTAACTATTAATATCTTGCCTTTTTAAGTCTAAAGTGAAAAGGGCTTTTATCATATGATCTGGAGAGGGGGCATCACAGTTGATGTCATGAACCGTTTTGATCAAGTGTAAATATCCAGGTATTTTGATAGATTTTGCTCCTGTCGTGTCCAAAATGAAATGAAACGGTGTTCAAACTGTATTCTCGTGCTTTTATTTGAAATTGACATGTTTGTTGGACATCGCTTTGAACTGTCTGTAATGATCGATAATAGGCTAGGGCTGTAGTGACAATTTTTATAGCACCGTTGTCTCAGTAGCCTACGTTTATTTATAAGACTGCCACCGTTTTCAATTACGAACAGGCCTAGTGATGAGTATACCGTAGTTATAGTCTCTTCCCATAAGCAGAATTTAATTCAATATCAGTTGAACCCTAAAATAATCTGTTTTCTTATTTATTAAAACTCGTTCGTTTTTAAATTCGGATTAGCATGCGTCATTAGCGGACTTTCATGCCAATATAGCGAATCTGACCCCCTCTCAATTTCATTTTATTCTATTTTATTTATTATTTTTGAGTTACTGGGTTCATTTATTTTTCGACACTACCTTTCCTGATGTTTGTGATATTAAAATAAGTGGTCACATTGACTAACGAGGCAAGTTAACGCCATGTACACTTAAAAATAAAGGTTCTTCATTTGCATAGACGGTTCTAAGAAGAATCTAACATCCATGGAACCTTTCCCTTGTACGAAATGTTCTTTATAGTAGAAAAATGTTCTTCACACTATAGGAAAAAAGTTATTTGGAAAACCAAAAATATTCTTTTTTTTTTCTCTCTAAAAAAAAAAACAACAACTTTGGAACCTTTGTGTGTTTAGAGGTAAAATAATCTGTCGGTGAATATGGTGATGTAACTAAATTCTGCAAGGTAGCGTCACTATTATTCCTCTTTTATTCGTATTCATTTCCAAACCCCGAACAACAACAGGCTTAGTTCAAATTCAAATGAAAGACAAGTAATAACTGCTGCTCCCATTGAACCGGAGCTCTTTCCTTTCTAATCTCTTAAATCTCATGCAAGCCTTCATTCTAACAATATACGTGAATATATCCAGACGATATTTTCCTCGTAATGCAACTGTTGCATAAGAGAGAAGGTGTGCGCCTCTCTCTCTACCTGAATATTGTCTGATGGAAAGTATTTTTCCGCTGTTTCTCCCCGACATAATAATAGCATGACGGGTTCAGGCTTGGTAAAGGATATAATTTTGTATCTCACATGCCCATTTTAAACCAATTCAAGAAACAGATGACATTGTGAATGCATAGTTTGCGATACAGTCAACTGCATAAAATATAGGCTACATGAACGATTTTGTTGCAACATAATAGACCGAATACGACACATAGCTAAGTGGACTTCTTAACAAATAAAATCAATAATATAATCAAAATGATGTGCGTTCGGACATTTCATTGCATTACCAGGAAGAAATGTCTTTTTGTTGCTGTCAAAAAAACTTGCAGTACATTATTACCAATCCAACTATTAAAACAATTAATGAATAACATTCTGATGTTCAAATAATGTTTTTTTAACGAATTCAGTATAATTCATTTTGTTTTATATTTTATACTCTATATAAACTGGAAAATCGTGCATATTTCTTATTTTATATTCCAATTGATTAATCTATGAAATATTCTTAGAAATCTTTCAAATGTAATTATATTCATATATTTTTGTTTTTGTAATTAAATCTCAATACACTCGACACCAATAACAGCCCAGATAACGACTTAGCCGTCCACTATCATTTTTAATCGCTAATTTGTCAGACAATTAAAGCCCAGACATCATGCAAGGTTTCAGCATTACAAAATGTCGATACATACTCAGGCCACATCTCTTCCCTCCCCTCTGATCTGTAAACTTTCAGAAGGTAGGCTGTGCTCTGACTGCCTATGAGGAGAGCAGGAGCAAAACCTGCCAGCCCCTCAATTTTCTCCACTTCCTGTACTCGAGCAACTGCATCCCAAAAGAGGGAAAAAGTAGGAAATATCCTGCGAACGGTTCTCAATAAGGCGTCCCGACGAACCGCTGGCGCTCGGCGCGTCTGCTGCCGCTTTACTGACCTATCACGAATGTCAAGACTTGCTTTAGACGTTTTTGTTAGTTTACCGATCGTTACTGTCGTTATTGATTGCCCGTACGGAAGGAAAAGGCGAACTGGGTTCACATCAGACCGATTTTGACCGCATGGGATGACACATTTTTAACAGAAAAAGCTTAAAGCAATTTGAAGATATCGAAAGAGAAGGTTAAGCCGTCAAATGTATTGGAAAAATGAGGCTTTGGCCCCTCTATCAGAGGGAAATCAGTTTCTATCCGAAGGAATTCCTTCAAAACAGGTAAGACTTTTATCGTATCCTATTCAAGTGTGGATGATAATGCAGTTATGCTTATTATTTATTATTCTCCATTTAATTGCATGGAAAGAAAATGTTGGTTTCAGTGGAGAAGTAGCCAACATGTTGCTCGATGTGAAAGTCCTCTATATATCATCTCCTGCAGCCTGTAGCATCTTCACCTTGAAGTGATGTCATGAGAATCAGGACCTGTTCTGAATAGTGTGATTTGCGGTCCATCCTCTTCACATGCCAAGTCTGCAGAAGAAAAATTAGATTTTAATTACTGCTCGTATCCTATTCAAGTGTGGATGATAATGCAGTTATGCTTATTATTTATTATTCTCCATTTAATTGCATGGAAAGAAAATGTTGGTTTCAGTGGAGAAGTAGCCAACATGTTGCTCGATGTGAAAGTCCTCTATATATCATCTCCTGCAGCCTGTAGCATCTTCACCTTGAAGTGATGTCATGAGAATCAGGATCTGTTCTGAATAGTGTGATTTGCGGTCCATCCTCTTCACATGCCAAGTCTGCAGAAGAAACATTAGATTTTAATTACTGCCATTAAAAATCAAATTTGCAATTCTTTGGGTGGCCCGTTGCTTTCTCTGATTGGCAGTTGAAATTGACACTCTAGGGTCCTCTTATCGCGAGCATTTCAAGCTATTTGTAATTGCAGGTAGTTTATTTTTTTTCAGCTCCCTGGATAGCGTGGAAATACGATTATGGGAAAAGGCACGGGTTAAGTGTTGGGGGGGAAAGAAATCCAAATTGAAATCGCTTCATTAAAACAGCGGCTTTTGTCGCGAGGCTCTCAATGCACAGTTAAAAGCGTTTTTATTGTTTTTGGACGCATATATAGAGCAGGGACCATGCCTGACATGGAGCACTGTGGCTTGACTGTGTTGTAGGTGATCTCTCCAGACTCGCACAGCACACCGGGAGCATCGCGCTGCGTGGACGGACAGCACGGACGCGCGATGGTGAGTTTGCACGAGGAGCGATAATGCGTCTTCTTTGCGTCCCTGCGAGGTCAGAGAGTTTTGCTTTTGCAGAAAAGGCCTTCAGCCACAACATAACACTCTTTACTGATGTAATGCATGTTGGTGGATTATTTTAACTTGGACTTGTAAACAGATTTTATATTATTGCGCTTAGAGAACGCTTTAAATGTCACTGAATTTCCTCTACATATGTTAGAAAGTGTTATTTCCAAGTTAAAACGACTATTACATGCTTTCCCACTTGAGAAGAGTTTCGATTTTCTTCATCAGTAATTACATTCGAAATGTTCGAAAACGTGTAGCAAATCACTGACGGGTTTTTTTACGTTTTCAGTTTTACAGTGGGTTGATTTTTTTTTTCCCAACAGAATATTCCTGTCAATAAAATAACCTTCTGAACGTCATACTTTCGAGTTTAATATTGATCTCTGTGGCTCTTGCAGTCGCAGTCTGACGGAGAATCTCACAGGTCTAACATGGAGAAAGACGACACGCGCTCTTCGCCCAGTCCGCCCTCGACTCCGTCCATCTGCTCGCCCGCGTCCAGCGCCTCCTCCACCGGGAAGAACGTGTGCGCGAGCTGCGGTCTCGAGATCCTGGACAGATATCTGCTCAAGGTACGAGAGGGCGTGAGTGTGTGTTTGTGTCTCATGTGACGAGTGAACTGACTTGAATAATATTAGTGTTTGGACTGGAACTTTTCGTAAAACGTATGAAGACAAAATTAGTTGGAACGATTTTTCTTTGTCTGAATTGTTGCTTTCGTTATTTTTTATATTGTTTATTATTAATTATCTGTATTAGCTCTGCATGTTTGCACTCTAAAAAATGCTGGGTTGTTTCAACCCAACTTTGGGTCAAATATGGACTAACCCAACTTTTGGGTTAAATTTTTCAATTACATTTTCAACCCAAAAGTTGGGTTAGTCCATATTTGACCCAAAGTTGGGTTGAAACAACCCAGCATTTTTTAGAGTGGCATATATAGAGCAGGGACCATGCCTGACATGGAGCACTGTGGCTTGACTGTGTTGTAGGTGATCTCTCCAGACTCGCACAGCACACCGGGAGCATCGCGCTGCGTGGACGGACAGCACGGACGCGCGATGGTGAGTTTGCACGAGGAGCGATAATGCGTCTTCTTTGCGTCCCTGCGAGGTCAGAGAGTTTTGCTTTTGCAGAAAAGGCCTTCAGCCACAACATAACACTCTTTACTGATGTAATGCATGTTGGTGGATTATTTTAACTTGGACTTGTAAACAGATTTTATATTATTGCGCTTAGAGAACGCTTTAAATGTCACTGAATTTCCTCTACATATGTTAGAAAGTGTTATTTCCAAGTTAAAACGACTATTACATGCTTTCCCACTTGAGAAGAGTTTCGATTTTCTTCATCAGTAATTACATTCGAAATGTTCGAAAACGTGTAGCAAATCACTGACGGGTTTTTTTACGTTTTCAGTTTTACAGTGGGTTGATTTTTTTTTTCCCAACAGAATATTCCTGTCAATAAAATAACCTTCTGAACGTCATACTTTCGAGTTTAATATTGATCTCTGTGGCTCTTGCAGTCGCAGTCTGACGGAGAATCTCACAGGTCTAACATGGAGAAAGACGACACGCGCTCTTCGCCCAGTCCGCCCTCGACTCCGTCCATCTGCTCGCCCGCGTCCAGCGCCTCCTCCACCGGGAAGAACGTGTGCGCGAGCTGCGGTCTCGAGATCCTGGACAGATATCTGCTCAAGGTACGAGAGGGCGTGAGTGTGTGTTTGTGTCTCATGTGACGAGTGAACTGACTTGAATAATATTAGTGTTTGGACTGGAACTTTTCGTAAAACGTATGAAGACAAAATTAGTTGGAACGATTTTTCTTTGTCTGAATTGTTGCTTTCGTTATTTTTTATATTGTTTATTATTAATTATCTGTATTAGCTCTGCATGTTTGCACTCTAAAAAATGCTGGGTTGTTTCAACCCAACTTTGGGTCAAATATGGACTAACCCAACTTTTGGGTTAAATTTTTCAATTACATTTTCAACCCAAAAGTTGGGTTAGTCCATATTTGACCCAAAGTTGGGTTGAAACAACCCAGCATTTTTTAGAGCGTGGGGTCTTATACACCGCGGCCAATTTAATAGATCGAAAAATATAGGCTACTTAAAAGTGATTGACTAAATAATTGATTAACATGATGTTGTCTAATCGTATGACGATTACTGATTCTAAACAGATTTTTGATGAAACGCTTCAATAAAAAATAGGATACTTAGCTTTGGGTCGCATAGCCCTTATGTATGAATTGAGTAGGCTAAATATATATAAAAAAAACGCAATTTATTTGTTTTACTGTTCTTTCTACAATGTTTTTATTTTTATTTTTAGCTGAGGTCAAACTGATCAGAAGCAGAAACGTTAGGCTATTAGATCCAGTCACATTTCTGGAAAAAAATGCATGCCAACTTTGATATAACAGATGGGTTCAGGTTTCTGTAATGTCTGCATGTGTTTTGGTTTGGTCAGAGGAGCATAATATAATAATGTGAAGGGGAAAAGAGGTTAATTTCGAATTTGCTGTTATTTTTACACATCGTATAAAAAGTAGGCCTAAATCTCAGCAGAACATGATGGATAAAAATCTTGCGAATATTTATTTTTAATCTCCAGATAGGCCAGATAGATTTAGCTTTTTCAACGAATAAATCGTCTGCATTTTGCTTTCTAAAAACGAGCAGCCGTTTTTAGTGGAGATGCTGACAGGATCGCTGTGCATGTGCTTGGTTTTCAGGAAGTGTGTGTGTTGCGTGTGTTGCGCGTGAGCACTCTCCCTCTGACCGTCGTGTTTTGCTCTTTTGCGGAAACTAATAAAACAGTGCGTGAGTTTATTACAATTTATTCAGGATGAACGAACCTAGACCCCTTTTTTATACATTTTCCTTTTTCTCAGCTCTTGGGGTTTAATAGTCTGAGAACATAATTATACTTCTTTTTTTCGACAGAATCTTTAGATAAATATTTCTAAGATGCACCTCCCGTGTGTCGTAAATGTTCCAAAGAAAACATGGTTAAAATCATCATTTTAAATCCCAAATTTTTTATTAAAATAATGAAATTTTAAATTTCAATAATCACAAATTTCTAGACGGAATATGTTGCAAGTTTGATTAACATTATTAATTATACATTTTTATACATTTGTTGTCCGCTTGCAACATACAGCAAAATAGGCTGCTTAATGTGCACACATCTGCATTTATACACCAGCGCAATTCAAATGAAATGTTCACAAAATATGTGGCAGAATCTAATTTTAAATCACAACTTTAATTGTAAACAAACAAAACCATTTCCTATAGCAGCCTATCGCATATTTATATGGCAGTCATTTTGAGACATATAGAAACACGTGTGTGCGGTTCGACTTCATTTGAACGCATATTGACATTTCATTTTATAACACATGAACGATTAATTTTATGAAACGCAAAAAAATACAAGTACATAAAGGTAGCCTTTTTAAAGAAAAAATATGCAAATTTCATTATTTTCCATGATTATATTTTCATTTGGGCTGTTCTGTTTGTTACAGGTTAATAATCTGATCTGGCACGTGAGGTGTCTGGAGTGTTCCGTTTGCAGGACGTCACTACGTCAACACGGCAGCTGCTACATTAAAAATAAGGAAATCTTCTGTAAAATGGATTATTTCAGGTAGGGTAAGTTTTTCACTTTCTGTCCTCAGAATTACCAGGTGCGCATATAAACGAAACACTGCGTAATTGTTTATGGTTGAAAATGCCTTGCGTGAGTGTGGCGTGTTAGGGTTTAATGCTAAAAATACGATTTTGTTTTTTCATTTTTATTTATTTAATTTTTGCTTAAAAAGTAGCGGTCTAATGTTTACCACAACAAATAGCCTACATATAATTATACTACGCCGTGTGTAATTTAGTTAATTTTCCAGTGATAAATTCAGTGAAAAAAGACCTCATACTTTAAAATATGGCTAACATCATAAAACGTCATACTCATATCAGTCGATTTATTAGAAGCATTTCGCATTTGTAGTTAATTTATTCATAAGTTAGACAATTTTATACTTGTCTGCTCTAAAGCTCCATTAGAACTACGTTTTATATTCTAATAGTAAACAAAAATTATTGATCTGAGACCAAAATAATAACGTTGTAGCTTATTCTAAGTAAATATTTGACAACTTAAAATACTTTAATTGGTGTTTCTGATTCAGTCATATTAAATCATACATTTAGATGTTACCACATGAAGCACATTATTGCTGGGTGAAAAAAAAAAAAAAAAAAAAAAATTTACTGCCTACAAAAGAATGGTGTCAATCGTAGTAATGAGAGGTATAAATAGTACTTGATTACTTTATTATTAGTAGAGTTAAATTGGCCAATATTTCCTTGTATGCAACTGAATAGTGAAAGAAATCAAACACAAGTTACATAATTCAGTCTCAGAAGTATCAAGCTCTGGGTTAGATCCAGTAATATGCTGATGGGAAGCGATGGAGGTCTGACAGGGAAGCTTTGCATTGAGGCTAGAAGGGCTGCGATATGGCATGATTGCAGAGCACTCAGCAAGGCCTGTGAATGGCAGTGTGATATTGGCCAGCCTTCCCTGCTTATTGCCCGTCAATGTGAATGACTGGCCCCTTTAAAGTCAATGCTGTGTTGCAGGAGAGGGTTTGTTTTCTACGTTAAGGCCAATAATCTGAAGAGATGCTCCACGAGATGGTGCATCAATGCCATGATCTTCACTGAGCGGTTGTGTTGAGTCTAGGGCGTCAGGATCTCTCAGGCTGTTTAATCCACAAGAGATTACAAAACTCTGAGAACTTTGGCACAGAAGATGTAGAAAGGAATGCAAGAAAACTCCACAAAGTGGATTTTATAGGGGATTATGTTATAGATCTTATTACGGACAAACCCATATTCTGAAGATGGTGAGTTGCGGTTTAGTACAATAGAAATCTGAAATGACGGCAGTTAAATGAAATGGAGAAGGGTTTTACAAATTCTTCCAAACGATTAGTAGTATTGCATTAGCATAAATATGCGAACAATATTCATATTTCTTTTAACTGACCTTGAAATTTAAAGTGTGATTTGTAGCTTGTAATAGTTATAGAAAACGAATAAATAAAAGAAAAAGATACATTCAGATAAATTGGATACTGGAAATGAGCATTTATTTAATTTTCCAGATGTTTAAAATAGCTATATATACATACAAAAAGTTGTATTCTTTTAACTGTATTTTATTTTATATATTAATGTGATATTAAAAATATTAATATATGTATCATTGTTCCTTGAGTTTTGTATGTCAAAGCAGCAACCTTAGAGGTTTATGTTGATTTTGGCATAGCAAAATACAGCCTCAGATTGAAGCGTTTTTCCCTAATTATCTGAGTTAATCAGGAAATGTAATCGTATATATTGTTAACGTTTTTTTGACATGGAATCGCAGGAACATCCCCGGCAGCGAAATACTGATTGACTCGCATTTGCCTTCAAAAAGAGACAGTAATAGCTCCATGCTTGTGGAGTCGGTTCAGTGATCTGAAGTAGACTGAACATGTATTTTTCTCCAGTGGCATTGAAACATCCCTCTTGTCAAGTCTTCTGGAAATAGAAGTGTTTCTTGGTTGGCCAATAAGCGGATTTCACCTTTTTTTTTTTTTTTTTTGTTTGTTTTATTTTCTCACAGCTGCAGATGGATTTATTTTTTTTTTTTTTTTTTTTTGTCTGTTTGAGTCTTGATACCCATTTCTATATATTTTATATAAAGAGGTTAAGATCATAACCACTAGCAGATACTAACCACTATGCCACACGGTCAAATTATTCTATGAATCGGTTTGATTAGAAATAATTTGTTTTCTTTGTCCATTGACATAATAAGTAGACTTGTGATTGGTGGACCTGTAGCACAAGCTCATGAACACATTGCCATGTTTGTATTTGGCAGCTGGATTGTTTCGCTGGTGCTGCACAACACTAATAGAAGACGGCCATCGTATGCTTGGAAGAAAAAGGATCTCCATCGATTTCTTGCAAAAAAAAGAAAACAAAACATAAGGAGATATGTTTCATTTGTGTTAGTCTCTCATCTGGGCCAGATTGACAGCTGCTCTAATAGAGTGTAATTACAGGAAATCAAAGTGGGTTTGCTGTGTATGCGAGGGGTGGGGGGGGGGCAGATCTGGCGGTAAGGGTCAGAGCCGAGACTGTACCTACACTAAAAAGAAACCGCCACAAAGGCATGAGCATCAGGCCACACAGGAAGTCAGAGGAGGCTGTTAATCAGAGGAACCAAAGGATAAGGACAGGGTGATGGAGTACGGCGGTAACCCGAGTGGGTTTGTGCCGAGCTGCGATCGCTAGATTTGGAGGAGATGACGTACTGTATGCGCGTACAGGGCTCCTTGTGTTTAAATGCAAACAGAAGTAAACAGAGCTTGTGTAACTCATAACTTGGTGGAGAATGCAGGAAATTATATGAGTGACTGAAATTACAATGGCAAAATGAAACGTGTTTTTTTTTTTCTGGTTAACAGAGGAAAAAATGGCTTCAACAAATGGATATGTTTGAGAATGAAAAATATTTTTTCTGTGGATGAGTGCTAAGGTCGCTAGGTTGTCTGAAACCAAAAAAAAAAAAAAAAGGTTGTCTGAAACCTCATAGTATCTGCTAGGTACTACATTTGGTTTGATATTTTGGCTGTGAACATTCAAAAAGTATGTTTTATATAGAATAAACGTTTAGCATGAATAAAATTCAGACGTCTGGCGTGTTGTTACTGTCATGTGACCTACGACGTCAGTTGCGTCGCTTCACTGTCATCCACGAATCCTGTCCCATGGCCTCATGGGATAGTCCATCGAATGCACACTTCAGAAATTCGACGGAATTAGTAGTTTATTCAGGTACTGTTTTTCGAATACTATAAATTTGGAGGTACTATGTTTTTCACATACTATTTAGTGTGGAAGTAGGCTTTTTCAATGCGTTTTTTTCGAAGGGACCTGTGTGAATTTCTTTCTTATGTTGAACACAAAAGAAGATATTTTGAAGAATGTGATTACTGAACAGTCGCTGGTAGCCACTGAGTTTCATAGTATGAAAAAAATACTGTGGAAGTTAATGGCTACCAGCAACTGTTTGGTTAGACACATTTTTCAAAATATCTTCTTTTGTGTTCAACAGAAGAAAGAAATTCATACAAGTTTGTAACAACAAGAAGGTGCACGAATGAATGAAATTACTGTTTTTTTTGCAAACTAGATATAAGTCTCTATTATGCTTTCTAGATATGGCTGACATATGTCTACCTTGTTTCTCGGACAGTTTAGTCCACCAATGCAAACGCTAAGGAATGGAAAAGCATACCTCAGAAAGTCGTAAGATTTGCGGTATTATTTATGCCTGTTTCACAAGCAGTGGAATGGGACGAGTTACATAACAAATTCACGGTTCGGGGTTTTGAAAAACCACCATGAGCAATAGTAATAGTGATGCTCGCCGTAGCAAACACCACTAATATGTCTCCGCAGTCTCTGAGAGGGAGATTTCCCCCAGATTATAATACTCCGAGAGTATATCAAATTTAATCTACCGAATTTCTACTTCCACAAGCTTCTCTTTTCCAGCCAAAGGTGAATTCCTTCGATGCTGAGGGAAACGCTTTGCGGCTGCCGGAATTTTTCCCGGCGAGTTATGATCTGCAGCACAGAAATAAATCCAGAATAAGCACAACAACGCACAATCAGACATGCGGCAGATCTGAACAAAAACAAAACCCCCTTAAGATCTTTATGGCTTTTCTGAAAGGTTTTGCGGTAAATGAACTGCCATGACAGATTACGGCTCCGTTCCACAATGTTTCTCCTCTAAACACACGTCTGAAATGCATCATTACTCAAACGTTGTATTCTTTGTCTGGAATGATGCTGTCAGAATATGGTGTGCAGTGTACACAGAAAGCCCTCTGAATGCTTTTTGCAGGCATTAATACGTGAGGTGTGTTTTATGTGTCGATACTTTGCACTTAAGTGGACTGTAAATATATTTTTTTAAATTTTGATTCAGGTTTGTTTTTGCTTCTTGGCTCATCCTGCTCAAGTGCTGATTGGCACAGACAAATTATTATACACACACACAAGTGCCGGTCCAAGTTGCCTGGTTTGTTGAGCCCCGTGGGGCTCCCTGGTGGGCTATGATGTCATTTCCAGCGGATGAACGCCCCGAGGGCCCCACTGTGGGACTTTCGGGGCCAGTGTCATCATTCTTCAGTAGCATCGGGGGAAACATGCATGGCTATCTCGATATCCCGTGTTTCTGTGCAGTCGGAGGAGGTTGTGTGTGACACTTTGTTTACACAAGGGCTCCCAATGACAGAGGTGTAGAGGGGGGGTGGGGTGGGGGGGCTCAGATTCAGGCCAAAAAAGGGCCGTGCCTGGCCATCTGCAGAGCATTAGTCTCTTCTAGTCCTCTCAACACTGGAACTCTCTTTGGTCACCCAAATGTGATGTCTGGGTCAAAAAACAAAACAAAAAAAACCCCTGCATGTTCAACCAGTCAAAATAACACTTCATTATGGCAGTACTTGCTGTTGGTTTGTATCGCCACAGGGTTGTTTATCAAGTCCTGTTGATAGCAGGATAACAGAAGAGGTGCTATAAGCAACTACATGGCCATACGGCTGCTGAAAATGCAGGGCTGAATTAAATATGGAATATGTATGTGGTTTACAAATCACAGTTGGCTGAGAATGTGATGATTAACATCAGCAGTAACATCAATAACATGCAGCAACTTAACCCCATTTCTGCATCAACTTTGCAGTGTATTGTATAATTAGAATTGAACAGATGAAAAACAGAAAAGGCCAATCACAATGTAGTGTGCAAATAATTGCAATAAAGAGAACCAATCGCATTCGCAAATCTGAATGACATCATGACTAATGGTGAATGGCAGATATTCTAGTAATGTCGGTGAATAAACTGCAGAATAAATAAATAAATAATCAAACACACAGATAGATAGTAAAATAATCTGGCATTAAAAAAAAGTGTAGTTGATTAAACAAAACTAAAAGAAAAGAATTAAATGATCCAGAATTTTAAGTATGTAAAGTAAGCAGTTTCAGGTTCATTTATTGCAAACAATTCTCTATTTTTAAAAGTAATTATATATATATTTATATATATATATATAGAGAGAGAGTAAAATTTATTGCAGATATATATATATATATATATATATACATATATAATAAACTAATTTGATATATTTTTAATTATTAAAATATAGTTTAATATTATGTCATATATATTAAACAAGGTAATATATCACCACCCTGCCTTTATTAATTTACATATGTGTATAAATTACAAACCCTTTGTCCTTTACACAAAAGAAAAAGTGGAGGTGCTTTAAAAATAGACAATCTTACATGTATTGCACACTTTGTTGGATAAAATCATGAGTTTATGGATCCTATCAGCAGTTTATCAGCAGATATTTCCTGTTGACCTGCGGTTCAGAGAATTACTCGTGGTTTGTTTGTGCTGAGAGTTTTACAGCCGTGTCTGACACGCTTAGCGGTTATCTTTTGGACACGGTTCAGCCTATATCTGTATTCTGTCTTCTGCCAGCGACAGCTTTCTGTGGAGAGAGCAAATACCTGTTTCACTATGAAACTGACTTCTATTACGTATTCAGAACAAGAAGCAAAATGCACAAATGCGTCTGTCATTATATACTAGCTTATGGGTTGTAATACTAAGCACATGCGTAACATGTTTTATTGTTTATTGAGTAAGTATTGATTCTCAAGCCCTTCTCTGTCTCACAGTAGGTTTGGTACAAAGTGTGCCCGCTGTGGCCGGCAGATCTACGCCAGCGACTGGGTACGTAGAGCCAGAGGCAATGCCTACCATCTGGCCTGCTTTGCCTGCTTCTCCTGCAAACGGCAGCTGTCCACAGGCGAGGAGTTCGGGCTGGTGGAGGAGAAAGTACTTTGTCGGATCCATTACGACACAATGGTGGAGAACCTGAAACGGGCCGCTGAGAGTGGTACGTGTGTTTCAGATGCATTTCACTTTGTCTCCTTAATCTGAAAAGTTTTGGTTTTAACCACTTTTCCCGGGTTTTTACACAGGAAGCGGACTCACTCTGGAGGGGGCGGTGCCGTCAGAACAGGACAGTCAACCAAAACCGGCTAAAAGGGCACGAACGTCCTTCACTGCAGAACAACTGCAGGTAAGATGATCAAACAGTGTCTGAAATGAGGAAGCAAACCCTCTTTGTGGTTATGCCTTTGTCCAATCTGAATTAATATTTCAGTTCCATTTAATGTTTTAAACACATCTGAAACAGCACTATCAGCAAGCAACCAATATTATAATATTAACCCTACAGTATCATATTTGATATGCACATTTCTAAGGTCTCTAAATTATCAACATGATCTTGTTCACAGTCTACTACATGCTTTCTGTCGTCTGATCGATCGTTTATTCTTAGCAAGTAAAAGGCCTTTTAGAATAAGACCTCCAGGTTGTGGTTCATGAGTCTTTTTGCTTTGAAATCTTTCCTAATTTTATCAAGTAAACATAAGAATAATTTATATTGTTAGTATTTCAAGACGGACACTTACTGGACTGAAGCAACTTAGGTTTACTTGATTATCCAGATATCACTTTTTAGAAAAATCATGTTAAAATATGAGTATTAAATATGATCATCAGACTTTTGAGGAATATGTATTTGTTCATTTCTCAATCATCATTGTATTGCATTGTAATATATGTTTTGAAACTACAGAGCTTTGATAATCAAACTAAGCATTTAAATATCATCTTACAAAGACATTATTTGGGAGATCTAGAGTGAACACTGATATTCATATGCATTTTATGCAAGTAGTCTGATATACTGTTATAAATATCTCACTAATTTACAAGATATGAGAATTTTTTATCTAATTTTTTGGCCATGTACATAACAACCCTGCACAAAATTGCACATTTTTTTTGTGAACACTGATATTCATATGCATTTTATGCAAGTAGTCTGATATACTGTTATAAATATCTCACTAATTTACAAGATATGAGAATTTTTTTATCTAATTTTTTGGCCATGTACATAACAACCCTGCACAAAATTGCACATTTTTGTTTTTTTTGAGTATGAGCTCCATATTCTCAATATATCATATTGCATGAGCCATAAAAAAGCCTGATGAATCAAATATGATACTCAACAAAAAACACACATGCAAACTCTTTGTCTAAAGTTTCAAAAATTATTTTAATTTCATTTATAATTATAATTTGTAATTAAACTGTTGATATTATTTTTAACATATTTCATTATTTTTAATGTATAAATTCTTTACAAATATGCATGTCTCAGTAAATGAGCTCATGTTAATGTGAGACTTGTTGCATGCACAGGTAATGCAGGCGCAGTTTGCACAGGACAACAACCCTGACGCTCAGACCCTGCAGAAGCTGGCAGACATGACAGGACTGAGCAGACGAGTCATACAGGTGACGGAACTCTCTTAATGTTCCCTTAGTGCTTCATGCTTCCATTCAAATGCAATAAAAAGAGACGGCTTCTCTTGACAGTTGGTTGTATTTTCATAGGTTTGGTTTCAAAACTGCAGAGCGAGACATAAAAAGCACACTCCACAGCACAGCGGTCCACCTCAAGCTCACCCGCAGGCCCGCATGCCCCCCTCGCTGCCCGACGAGCTGCATTACTCCCCTTTCGGCACTCCTGAGAGAGCACGCATGGTGGCCCTGCACGGGTACATCGAAAGTGAGTGTTTCCTCAAGAGCTGCTGTCATTAAAGCCAAAGGGAAAGAAAACTAATTCAATGCCACTTTTCATTTAAATTGTTATGGATAATAATATAAAATGTTTATAATAATAATATATAAAATATATTTATTTTAGGTAACACTTTATTTTAAGGTGTCCTTGTTACACATGTTACATGTACTTACTATTATAATAGCAATTAATTATGCATAATTACATGCAAGTAACCCTAAGCCAAACCAAATCCTTACCCTAACCATATAGTAAGTACATGTAGTTAATTAATATTACTCAGTACTTATATGTATAATTACACTGTAACAAGGACACCTTCAAATAAAGTTGACACTTCTGGTCAAAAGTTTGGAATAATTACATTTGTAATGTTTTTGAAAGAAGTCTGTTATGCTCACCAAGGCTGCATTTATTTGATCAGAAATACAGTAAAAACAGTAATACTGTTACGATTTTAAATAACTGTTCTATTGCAATATATGTTAAAATGTAATTTATTCCTGTGATGCGCAGCTGAATTTTCAGCATCATTACTCCAGTCTTAAGTGTCACATGATCCTTCAGAAATCATTCTAATATGCTGATTTGATAATCAAACAGTTGAAAACAGTTGAATTGCTTAATATTTTTTTGTGAAAACTGTGATAAACTACCATTCAAAGGTTTAGGGTAAGTAAGTACGTTTATTCAGCAAGGATGTATTCAATTGATCAAGTGACATAAAGACATTTATAATCTTACAGAAGATTTCTGTTTCAAATGAATGCTGTTCCTTTAAACTTTTTTTTTCTTCGAAAGATCTTGAAAAAAACTGAATCATGGTTTCTACAAAAATATTAAGTAGCACAACTAAAACGCGAACATTGATAAAATATTTCTTGTGCAGCAAATCAGCATATTCTGAAGGGTCATGTGACACTGAAGACTGAAAATTCAGCTTTAAAAGTAGCTTTAAAGTAGTGTAGTAATGACCAGTAGTGATACACAAACAAACCAAACTGGTGGCATTTTTACTTATGTTCTCCGATCTAAACATATGTAGCGATGAATGAATATAGCTAGAGATTAATATTATGTTGTGTTTATTTTGTTTTGGTTTCACAGGCCATCCATTCTCAGTGCTCACTACACAGAGCCTCCCTCATCAGGCCATGACATTGCCGCAGCTCCCTCTCAGCCGCTAACACCCACGCCTCGCACTGACCCCTGACCCCTTCACCCTGACCTCCTGCTCCAAACCTCAGAGGTCGGATCTGGCTGAAGGAGAGGGTCATGCTCCCTCTTGCTCTTGACCTCTGAACTCGCAAAGAGAGAGACTGTTTCCTCTCTGGTTTCATTGGACAGGATTGAACTCGCCTGCATCTAGTCACTCTCGGTTAAGGAAAACCGCATACGTGACCTGTGAATTTAGGACTTTGTCACCAAGACCAGGATCTGGACTTTTGGACAAAAAAAAGACTCGAGCACACACTGTAAAAGACTAGCGCTCTTGGTGCGTCCTCTCTTCTGATTGTCTCTTCTGACTCGTGTTCAGCGTTTGGAGACTCAAAAGGAATGTAAAGTTACCAGCATCAGTGTTAAACATTTAGATTGAAAAAGGCAAAAGCACAAGAAATGTGGATGGGAAATAAATGGCATAGGACCAGGTGGTAAGACAAATTTTATCTTTTTTTCCTTGCCGAAACACACCACGATTGAACATGGAATCTGTACTAAGCCAGTGAAATGAATTTTAGCTACAGTTCAGTTAACTTTTTCTTGCTTTCTTGTTCTTACACCAGTATGCAAAGCATATGTGTTTTCTTGGGCCTAAAAAGCCAGCAGGCTTGATTTGTCCACATATTTCAATTTAAAAAATAATTGTACTTCAATTCCTTAAAGGCCTTAAAGTCCATCAAACATAACTGCAAATTGTTTTTGCAATTATTTTAACGACATCTTGTTTTGAAAGCAGATCATTTTAGAAAAGTGAAATTGATTCCTTTTAAATCCAGGTAAAATGTTAAATAATAATTTCTATAGTTTAAAAAGATGTCAAAACCTTTTATATCTTCCCTAACATTTATTCTTTTCCAAAATGAATTTCAATAACTCTCGTCATTGCAGTTTACCTGCAATCATAGCCTACAAATGACACTGATCTTAGTGTCAAATCAAATCAAATCAAATCAAATCAAATCAAATCAAAAACAGTGCTCTGAATATTTTCTACAAAAAATGTAAAGAAAATATTAAACTTGAGGATCAAGAAGGGATTATCAATGACAAACAACAGTATTTTGTGCATAAGAGGAAGACTGAGACTAAAAAGAGCACTTGAGTAAATTGTAAAGATGGCTACATGTAAAGAAAATGTACATGTAATGTATTTTTATTTAAGCAGTGTCCTGACCTTATGTGGGAGACGAAAGTGTCTGTTTCATTGATTTCTTCATACATGTGTGCCGTATATGCCTCAGCTGTGACGAGGGAGCGGGAGTGTTGTATACTAACAGATAGGAGCTGTGTACAGGTCTGAAACCGGGGGAAAAGTCTGAAATTGTAACTTAAATTTGAGAAATACATTCTTGTGTTCTGAATGGGGGACAAGGCCTCTAAATTCTTGTATTTATTATGGCAGGTAGCCTGTAAGCACTTTTCCCCACTTCCACATGTCTGTTTTGTAAAAAAAAGAAAATAAAACAATTAACTATTTCTTTGGATGTGCATCTTTTTTTTTTTTTTTAAATAAATTAAATTAGTTAAAAAACTTAAATTATTAAATCAGATTACTGGATTTTTTTCCAGAGCTTAAAAGCCTGTAAAGAACATATCTATCTATTGAATGTTGTATATATATATATATATAATTATTATTATTATTTCAAAATTACTAAGGCACCAATTGTTAAATACTTCATGAATAATTCAAATAAAAACTGACAAAATAAAGTTAACAATGAATCAGAATATCTGTATAAAAGAAACTCAATATTACATTTTCTCTAAAAAATGTTTTTTCTTTTTATATATATATATATTTTTTTTTTACACACTTATTTCTTGAAGTATACATCTAAATATGTTTCATTCACTGCCATGGTATTCCCAGCACAGTGTTTTTTGGAAGGGAACACTCTTTTATGACATTAAATGCAGATTGTATATCTGACTGTTATGATGACAAGTTAGGATAGACTATTATGGCATATACCAAATATTACAGAAAACAGATCATTTGAAAAGAATATCTAGATGTTTTTTTTTTGTCACTTTCAGTGGTATTTTTGCCCTGAGCCCTGGTTAATTTCTGTCTCTGGTCTCTGCATGGGCCAGTGTTGGGTCTGTGTGCACGAGTGAAGCAGGAAGCAATCACAGGCTGATGGAGGAGCTGGCAGACCCTTCACGGGTCAGTGTGTGCAGTAATGACTCCATCACTGATTCCATCGCCATCATATACAGGAATTCCCTGTCAGTCCACATCACAGGAATGATCTTGTATCCCGTGTTCTGTTTCAAAAGACCCACTGAGACATAATCTTTTACTAAACTATCCTCTCTTCACTCATGCACACACTTTTTTTTTTTTTTTTTTAATGCAGAAGATTTTGCATCACTTTTTTTTGTTTTCGAGCTGAGCAGTAATTTGACTCATTCACGTCATTAGAACACTGAGCTGTATTCAGTTGTTGGATGTTTTCGCAGTACTGGTCATTTGCTTGGGTAGAATACAGCAATGATGTAACATTTCTTACTTGAGTTTGTACCCAAACCCACTATTATCTATTCAAACATTATTTTGTCTTTAAAATAAACTGTATGTAATGACTTTTAAAACCTAAACTCATTGAATTATATTTTATTATTTTGTGGTTTATGTAGCTGTTCAGTTGAGATATTTTTCACTTATAATAATAATAATAATAAAAAAAAGAAAATAAAGCACATTTAGTGCTAATGCTGTGTAATAATAATGCTAACTGTAGCCTATATTAAAACTTTAAAAAATATATATATATATTTTGTACATATAAAGCTTTTGCATATAGATATACTTATAACACTTAATGCAAATTCATGTTTTATTTCTATTTTTCCATTAAGCATTCATTCATATTACATGATTTCTGTGGGTTGTAGTTTTACAGATGTCAGTTTAGTGATAATCACTCATTTTTAAAGATATTTTTAATGTGATGATATTTACTTATCACTCTTATTATCACTTATTAAAACTCTTAGTTCCGTTTTGGAAAAGAAAGCATTGGCTAAACGAATTAACGTCATAAAGCTGCATTAATATGTCATTCAGATAAACGATGGCCTGCCTGTGTGTAGCCTATGAGTGTTCTCACTTCTCCTCCAGCGTGTTGCCTCTTGGACAGTGGCCAATGAACTCATCCCAGCTCTTCCTGCAGGTCCGCACGATCCACTCGTGTTCTTGGTCGTCTACAAGGGCAGATAATACATATTTCACTCATTCTGATAAAGAAAAACGCTTTCTAGATTCATAATAAAAGCATGAAGTCTGCACGCGTAGCCTATAGTACACTTGTAAATGAGATACGTGCTATTTTTTCCTCTCGGATTGTTTGGTCAAAAATCGAGCTCCAAAAGGCATGTGTCAAACTCATTCATATGCGGTTAAAGGCAATTTACATTTTTTACGTGCGGGATGAAGACAACAATTATGAAAATTCGCTCTCAGCAGCCTACTTCACGCGGCAATCAATCACTCCCTTTTTTTCTTCCCCTTCCCAGAGATGATTCCGCAACCAAAAACAGTGGATAATATACTGCTTCTTTTAAATGGTTAAAACTGAAAGGAGTTGCTAATTGCGGAGCGCGAGGTAGTTCTGCTGCTGGTGCTGAATGTGAGCGCACAGCTGCACGCACTTGAGCGCTCACCCCCATGAACATGGCGAACTGGGCCCATTGTTGAGAACAGGTCTTAAGCTCTCTTCTGATTGTCGGTAATTGCACGCGATGGCCCTAAACGGCCTCTCCACGCGCCTCCCGCCACTTCTACCTGGCTCCCGCGCGCGGCAATTGAGACTTTTCCAGCACGCGACCGGTCCATTCTGCGACAGCTGCATGCTAACGTCTCCCTTCATTCAGTCGCTCCCACCTCACGTTCTCCACATGGAGGTCACACTCGAGAGGAACATTTCATCACTATTTTAAGCCAATTAATACCTCCGTGGACGCTTTAACCAATGGCTGATGGACAAGGTCGGTCTACAATTACGTCTCGGTAAACGGGTTTTGGTAAATGGAGTTCGCACGGTTATATTTGCACGAAATTAGCACCTCAGTACTTATTGTTTGCCTGGCATTCATGCACTTGCTAAATTCATAGGCGAATACAATCCTATTTCAGAGCACACGTGTCACTCACATCAAATCTACTGCAAATAAATCAACGTCCGTATCAGTTTTCGAGGGCTGAAAGGGTCTGTAAATTATACTTCTGATATGCGATTTACATGACAGCAGTGTTTCAGATTGAACTGCGTTACAGGTAAGTCTGTGTGTCCACCGTAGACCGAATAAAAGCTTACAAAAGCAAAGTTCTTATAATATAGCATATCAGCATCACAGCAGTGTAAATAGTAGCTGTTGCCTTATTGGAAACAAGCACCACAACAAAATATATCTATAGGCCTGAATATTATTCCTGCTGGAAAATTTGTTATTTGTTAACAGGCCACAAGTCATTTTATTTCAATGCAAAGTTCTGTCTTCTTGACATCTTTGGGCCAATGCACAATTTCATAAACAGTACAAGTCCTTATGGTCCCTTACAGGGTTCCCACGGTCATGGACAAATTAATGTTCAAATTGTGTTTTTCAGGCATAGAACTTTCTGTTCTATACAAAATTTTAAGTGCAATTTCTATCAAATTATTTTTAAAAGTCCTTGTCCAGTAACCACAAATGACTGGAATAGTCATTCATAAGTCATTCACAATTGCACATTCATTGTGGGAATGCTGTTTAAAGAACTGTCGTAGCCCTCGTACTTCCTCAAACTTTGCTGAAATTCATCTCCTTGAATTTCCGTAACCCATATAACCATCTATTTGTTTTCAGTACTAATGTTTAGTTCCTTTTTCTTGCATTTTTTTTTTAAATTCTGATTTTCCCCTTATCAATTTATTTACTTTTTTCTTGTCTTTTCTCTACATTTTTCTTGTTTATGTGGAAGTCTTTTTATTCATAAGTACAATCCCTTTTTTGGGAACTTTCCCAACATTTGCTTTTCCCCCCTCAGATTTATTGTAGTTATGTGCCTGTATTTTGTACAAAACACAAATTATTTCTTTGTTTCTAATAATACTCAAGTTAATTGAGCCTCCTTTCCTCATGCTCATGTTTAGCCCTCACTCAGGTGGCCTAACAAATATGATACACAGTCTTCCACGATCAAAGCCCAGGAATCAGAAGGGAAGCAGTAATTGTACCTTGTTAGAAGGTGTTTATCTCAATCCTTAAAATACAGTCAAAAAGAAAAGTGTTTCTTTCCAGAGCTGCACTTTTTTTATTAATGGCTTTAGGATCTCTGATCATCTGAAATGATTCAAAAGCTCAAGGAGCTGAGTGTGTGTATCCTCACCAGCTGGAGGATCATCTCCTGACAAGGTTTGATGTTACCTTAAAACAGTGACTAGTGAATAGTAGAACATGAACCTTTAGCAATTATCACAGAAGCAGGAAACCACTGCAAACCATATGGCTGTACAGCTTTTGGCTTAAGTGAAGTTATGTGTTACCAAAGACCAGGCGCTAAAACAAGACAAATAGTGTTGTTTAAAAAGCATAATCACTGTCAAATCTCCAAATATTTTACAGGATAGAGCAATATATAGCTTAATGCTAAGCCAAGCAATACTGTTAGTATTTTTTATATTTTACTATTGTTTGTTCTAAATCTGTTATGCTATCTATTCAGAACTTCACTTGTCCTGCAGTGGTATTGATTGATACCCTCATATGATAACTAGATTTACAAGTTTTGCCTGGCAGACAATACAACAGCTAAAAACTTTCATAGACTAGAGATCTGAATCATATCTATAGAGACCAGAATATTACAGAAATTTGGGGTGGACTCGTTTTACTTGGGCCAGTAAGTAACCACAACGACATAGCAATGCACTAAAAACCACCCAAACACTTTAGCAACCTAATAGCAACCCCCTGACAACCA